CAAATACTCGTCAACGAGTAATGGCAGTAATAGTAGTATAGCAAATAACTTGAACGACGGGCCAGTTTCGTATACAATACTGTTATGGATTTCGTAGGTCCTTAATTTAAAAACACTCAATCTAGTTTATTTCAAGACTAAAACTTACAAAAAACTACTTAAGAATAGTGCCATCACCTGCGGATACACGAATTTATTTTAGGGGGAGGACCCAAAGAAACAGTAATGTAGAATATGCTTTTTAGAACACCATTTTTAACCCCCAAGCGTAAAATTGAACCAATAGATGTCCAATGTAGAATAACTAAAATATTGACCTGTGACTGACGTAGTACGCGTAAAACATCACAATGATGACCCACGACTTTCATTTAAATATTTTCGTTTATTCAAACCACACTGGCCTTACTGTTGACTCGACAAAAACATTTTTTTGTGAATTTTGACAATAATTTCTTAAGCAAAGAGTAAAATATTTAGTTTCAATATGTATAATCTACAGAGGTGATACAATATAAATAAATATTCCAAAAATTTAACTATTGGGCCACTGAACATTTTCATTTTCAAATTGCATTGGAGAGATCGCTTGTTCGTTGTGGCAAATCGCTTAACATCATGATTTATTTCCTATACTGTACTGTTACTAATAGGTACAATGTCATTAGTGAAATTTTTGATTATCCCTGGTTTGTATGATGGCATAAACAATTACTATGGGAAATTAAATAGGGTATGCATATAATGAATTTCACTTACTAAAAAAAAATAATATGTACATATTTTCGAAAACTGGAAATGGGTTTTTGAACTCATTAACAAAATCCAGTTAATGTATTAAATACATTCCCCTAATGATGATTTTTGTCATAAATGATGAATGAATTTCTTTTATAATTTTTATATTCACATTCATCCAGTAACAGAGAGAACAGCACAAATAAGAGATGTTAAAACAATGTTAAAAAAATGTGAATAAATGTCAATGAATCGTCAACTTTAATTGTATTTTCTGCATTCGAATTGAGCGTTCTCTCACTGTTGTTTCTCTTTAATTGGCTAATATCTATTAATTAATCTCCATTATATCAGTGCATGACGGTTTGCAGGGTGAACTAAAATTTAACCCTCTAAATATTGCAGTCTCTAGTATCTAGTAAAAAAAATATAATCCGTTTAAAAATTAAAAAAATCTACAGCATGAATTTATTTTGCTCTACAAGGTACCACAAACTGCCACTGCATTATATTATAGTATTAACTATACTATTCCAACGTAGAAACAATATGCGAAAGAATTCATTCAAACTAATTAACCAAATTCAATTCACTCACCAAGCAATATAGCGGATTATCCTGAGTTTCCTTTACAATGACCACGTTTAAATTTCACCAAATACATAAATATATAACTATACAATTTCAAAAAAAGTGCACAAATATCAACTTCAAAAACCAAAATTCAGTTTAACACTAATTAAGCAAATATAACTTTAATCGCCGAATATTAATTGTATAAGCGACCGAGGTAGAATGACTACCCACTACAGACTGACACCAGTACGCGCGACGTACTATAATGAATGACGGACGACTTTCATTGAAAAGTTTTTCGTTAGTCGAGTGACTCACTCACTCACTACTACGAACAGTGCGAACGCGAACCGTCAACGTGCGAGCACGTTTCTCATCTCCGACGACTATCCGCCGTCATCGATGTCGCTTTTACAACGGGTCAGAACCAGCGGCGCCGCATCGGTCGCACATATACAGGGATATTTTCTATTAATATCAGTACCACGAACACATTTAACAACAATTAATGTTAATATTAAACACATCAATAAAGGTTTAGAAATGAACGTCTACACAGGGTGTCCCGGAAATAAGTGCAAGTATTTTAAAGGGTGGTAGGTGGTAGATCTGACCCCAAAAGAAATATATTTTGTGTTTACCATTTTTAAAATAAATTGATAATAACCAAGTTATTTAACTTTGAAAATTTTAAAAAATAATGGCGACATGTTGAGTACTGCCGGCAGCAATCGATAATCAGTCCTAAATACCAAGCGATTACCCGGATCTTAGCTTGTGTGACGCCCAGTGTTGGCACATCGACTAAAAAGATTTAAAAACAACTTGAAAAATTCAGATTAAAAGTAAAAAACTTATCTAACATTAACTAGAGGCAGATCGATGTAATTAGGTTAGTGCATCGTTTTATCACTTTACCTGAAACCACAACTTCACATGAAGTGTTGTTAACAACATTTCACTGCAATTCTTGACAGCACTACACTTAAATACCCACGTATATTTGGCACAAAATAGATTCATATGTCATCTGAATTATTTAGGATAATTTTTTTGGAAAATCTCTTCTGTTTTTCTATCTCACACTCTCTCAAAAATGTTCTCTCAAAAAATTATCATAAATCATTTTTTTAAAATGAAAACCCACTTTTTTATTTCAATAGTGAAAAGGTTTTCCAATTCGTTACTTTTTGAGTATACATGTTCCTATACCAAAAATAAATCGTTTCTAAGTTATTTAGATTTATCTAGCTTTCTCTGTCATTAAGTGTCAAATAGTCAGACAATTTATTTCCATCTGACAGAAAACGAATTATTTGAATTTTCTATATTATAAAAATACTGCTTGCCTTAGGAGTTTAAAAAGTGTATTTATAAAAATATATCTCGTATTTACGCTCTTTAGTGATATCTAATAGTTGATATTATTAATAATATAACGTATGATCGACAAAAAAAACAGCGCAAAGTTGGCTTGGAAATGATGATCGATAACATACTGCTTTTTGAACCACGTGTCACAATATGACATAGCCAGATCTGTTGTTTTACATCACTTGAAGTTTGGTTTGGTTTGGTATTAAATTGCTTGGTAAATCAAGAAAAATATACGCTTTAAAACTAAATCTTAAATAACTTAAAAACAATTTATTGTAGGTATAAGAAGAACGTGTATAGAAAGAAAGTAACGAATTGAAAAGTTTTTCTATCTTACACTCTCTGTTTTAATGAATAAACACCAAAATAATTGATATATCTATTCGAATAATAAAAGTATTTTTACAGGCTTGCCTATTTGTTTTATCAGAGGTTTACTGCTTTGAGTAAAATCTTAAATGAGTTGGATAACGTAAAATTCATCAGCTAAACAGATCAGATTTACATCAGCTGGTCTGTTTCAATGTAGGTCAACCGATGAATATTTACATACCTAATAGAGAGTGCCGATTCCAAAAATTATAAAAGAAGGTGGAAAAATCTATTCAGTACAACTATTATTCAGAGTTAACTCATCGAGGAGATCGAAATGCACAAAATATCAAGATACAAATTTTTAATCGGCATTAAGTGGCCTACACACTTTCGCTAATAAAAGAAAGAGTTAAAAAAGTTAAAAGTTAGTTGCGCACATGTTTTTTTAGAAAAATATTCTAGTGATATTCCATATGCACGTCCCTGGTGAATATATCGACACTTTTTTAGCATTAAAATATACGTTGCAGTAATAGTAACTTTTACCCTCCAAATTTTTCCAAATCGCTAAAAGCATTTGGAAGAAAATTATAATAAATCTAAAAAAATAAGACTTCAACCCCCTGTAGCTACGAAACAAAGCAGAATCGGACCCATGTTAATATGAAAAATAAATCTGATTTTTACGTGAAGAATCTCCCTACGAGCGATGGCACATGTTTTTAGAAAAACCCTGTAGATTTTCCTTCCTGCTCGTGCCGCCGCTGTCTAGAACGCATTCCGTTCGTAATTAATATCCTTCCGGTCATAGAATGCATATTAGCAGGTACGGTACCGGATATAGCGCAGGGCCGGCTTCAGAACAGGTTATGCGAGTTCTTGTTTGACGTTCTCTTTTTTTTATTTTTTAGGAAAACATGTTCCTGATTAAATACATAGAAAACAAACTTTCAACGATATATTTTTTATGATTTATTTAGCTAGTTTGAGTCTGAAATGCACATAGGGACAGTTATCAAGAGGAATACTGGAAATTTAAGGTTGACATTTAAAAAAGTATTAATAAAAAAACTTATGAGAAACAAACTTTTATTTAAATGTATATATTACACAATTTATACGATATAAAAGCTTGTCGCCAGATTTATCTGTGTACATATACAAACACAAGGGTACAATATGCATGCAACTTAATATTGACATAAATATTCCAAGAAAAATATATTTTATAAAATAGTAAAATAGGTAGTTACCTATCAAACTACTATTATAAATGCGAACGTTTGTGTGTCTGGCTCGGCACAGCAGTTAGTTTTTTATATTTCCTATCTGGCGACAAAATTTTATATCATCTATACTAATATATAAAATCCTTAAGTGACTGACATACTGATTAATCACGATCCTGCTCAAACCACTCAATTTTGGCATATAGGTTGATTCTAGGGTGTAGAGGTTCGATAAGAAGGGATTTTTGGAAATTCCAGTTCCCAGAGGGTGAAACCCCTCAAATATTACAATATTTTTTATTTAAAAAACGGTCAAGTTTCCGAAAAAACTCTTAAAAACGTATATTTTATTTTGTTGTTTTACATATTTTATGATTTTTTAAAAATTTATACAGGGTGTTTCATAAAATATGACCAATGAGTAATCACGATTCTGCTTAAACTGCTTGACGTTTAAAGCTGATTTTTGGCAAACGGATTGACTATGGGGTGTAGAGGTTCGATAAGGAGGGGTTTCTCGAATCTCAAATTCCAAGAGGGCGAAAACGCCACTCAAATATTACAATATTTGTTATTTAAAAAACGGTTAGTCTTTCGGGAAAACGCTTGGACAAGCCTAATTTATTTGTTTCTTTTACATATTTTGAAATTTTTTAAAAAATCATCGCGTGCGTTGTGGCGCGTTGTCGTGTTCATATTGGTGAGCGTTATGTTATTAGTTGTGTGATAGCTAACGATAAAAATGTCGTCCGTAAAAAGTATTTGCTGTTGGAAAACTCACGACTACCAAGGCTCCTTTTTAAAAGAAAAAAAAGAAGAAAAGCTGTTCATGAAGTAAATAAAATGCGCTACGTTTATGGAGAATTTCATCAACTGTATCCTCAACTGCGACAAGATTCTGCAAGATTTTTCGAGTTTTTGAGAATGTCAATTGAAACATTTGACTATATATTAACGAAAATAAAAGATAGACTGCGGAAAAAAATCACTAATTTTAAATCACCAGTTTCTCCAGAAGAAAAACTGTACGTTACGATAAGGTAAGCAATTATGTTTTTTTTGTAATTTAATTATTACACAGGTAATCGCAATATTACAAAATAAATATAAAAAAAATAAAATATTTATTCTCCTTTTTACAAATACTTAATAATACAACAAATAAATTTTAAGTTAAAAAAATCGTAATTCACATTTTTAAGTTTCGTCGAAAGAATCGAGTAAGTAGGTCGTTGACTGTTCGTAGTTCCCTACTGTTGTGTCGCTGGTACCATTATTTGTGCTTACTGGTACATTAATGGAATATACTTGAACATGGTTTAAAGAGACGCCTTGCTTCTTGCGTTTAAGAGCCTCCATAACTACATTTTGAACACTTGTCCGGAGTTCAAGTTTTTCGATCCCATCAAATTCGCCAAAATATGGCAACAAGCTCATTAAAAAATTATAATCAGGATTCTGCACGAGTTCCGAACTTCTATTTTGATCATTCCTTAACAATTCAAGTTTCTGCTGTTCTATTCCTATATATCTATCAATTTCGGACTGATCTGTCATCTTTTTTTTTGGTGTAGATTTTTCGGAATTTGTAGAACAATTGGTAGTTTGCGTGGAAGGCCGTGTATAAGTAGCATTCGAGGTTTGAAATTTTGTCGTAATACTATCTTGCATTAAAGAAGCATCCGGATGCGTCACATCATTATCTAAATATGTATCTTCTACGTCACTATTACTGACTGGATTAACAGGCGCACTCAAATTTCCCTGGGTAGCAGTTGGAGCTATGATACCTTTAATAAACTGCATCATATTAAAAAAAGGCCATTTTCCTTTGTATTCCTGGGCTTCCGAACCAGAACGGCATTTAGGCAAACTTTTCATCTCAATTCGAAACTTGTCCTTTAAATTTTTCCATTTAGCCTTCACCAAACTTTCTAAAAAAAATTGTTGTGGATACAAAAAACAGACAAATTTTCGAAGAATGATTTTTATAGAAATTTTTACATGTTCTATCTCTGCAAGCTAATTTTTATTTTTTTATGTTTTAGGTATCTATCTACGGGACTTTCCTTCATAAATCTTGCCACTACAATAAGAATGGGAGTATCCACCCTAAGTTATATTATACATAACACATGCATTACGATATGGGAAGAATTAGTTGATGAATTTATGCCTACTCCACGTCTAGAACAATTGAGAAATATCGCTGAAGATTACCGAAAAAGATGGAACTTTCCTAACTGCATCGGAGCAATTGATGGAAAACATTGTCAGATAAAATGTCCTTCTGGCAGTGGCTCTACCTACTTTAACTATATGAAATATTTCTCTATTTTATTACAGGGTGTTGCTGATGCTAACAAGAAATTTATTGCAATAGAAGTTGGTGCAAGAGGAAAACAAAGTGATGGGGGAGTATTTGCTTCATCAATATTATTTAATCTTATTGAAAATAACAATTTCAACATACCACCACCCAAAGAACTACCAAACATCAACATTAAAGTACCTCATGTCCTCGTAGGGGATGAAGCATATCCCCTAAAATCGTATTTAATGAGACCATTTCCTAGTAGAAATCTAAATCCCTTAAAAGAAAATTTTAATAAACGGCTATCAAGTGCAAGAAAATGTATAGAATGTACGTTTGGAATATTGAGAGCAAAATGGCGCATATTAGGAAAAGACATTGAAGTACAGCCAGATAAAGCTATTGCAATTATTAAATGTACATGTCCATTGCACAATGTAGTTAGAGAAAGGGATGGAGATAATGATCCTGATTATTTTAATATAGTTACTGATTCTTCTAATAATACAAAAATACAAAACAGTAATTTTTCACCAACTACAGACCATGGGGCACGAAGATCCACAAATGAAGCAAAAGAAATAAGGGACACGTTGGCAAATTATTTTTTAGAGAATTAAAAATATTACTTTGGTATTTTTCAGAAAGATATTACGTTTTTGTTTAACTTATTCACCTATTAAAATTCTTATTAAATTAGCCATATATTATTTCTTTTTTACTTACCTGATACCCCTACTATTTTAGCCACTTCTTCCCAATGTTTTGATGCAATAATCCTATTTTTATAATCTGGATGCCGTTCATTCCAAAGTGCTGGACGTGTTTGAATTTCTGAAATTAATAACTCTCGGTCCAAGTCCATGATCCCCTTTTAAGGCACTCAATTATACTAAAATAAATAAAAATACACGTCCAGTAAAGAAAGCGACGTCGCCCGAAAATTCAAGCAGGTTAAAACCACTAGCGGCGCGATGCGTTGCAAATCACAACGCCGAGCGATCCGTAGCTCCAATGTGAATGCTTCCATTTGAAATATAATGTTAAAATTATTTATGGGTATCGCTAGAGCGGCATCGCGCAACGTTCACCGCTCGAGCGGTGCCAATGTGAACGCACACTTTGTCTTTCGGGAAAACGCTTGGACAAGCCTAATTTATTTGTTTCTTTTACATATTTTGAAATTTTTTAAAAAATCATACAGGGTGTTCCAAAAAGTTGGGTAATTTCTTAACCACGATTCTGCTTAAACTGCTTGACGTAAAAAGCTTATTTTTGGCAAACGGATTTTTCGAAAGTCAAATTCCAACGAGATGAAACTACCCCTCAAATATTACCAAGTTATATAATAATATCGCCATATTGTTTTTTCTCATGCTGACATAAATGTGAGAAAATTTTATCCAGTTTGTATGTTAATGGAAATGCCTGCTTTGCTTTGTCATCACCATTACAAATGATTAATTCGACGCGAACGAAGTCGCTGGGTACACGCTAGTATTATTATATTATTATGTCATGTAAATACTACAATAAGATACTTTTCGTAAATTTCGCAAATTGTAATGTAAATAATACAATAAGATACTTTTTCTGTTAACTCAGAACTATCTAATTCTGCTGAGGAGACCTTTCAAAAGATTTTATTCGACTAAGAGCAAACATGGTGGATTTATCTTCTTTCGTTTACGAATTTCTATGACCACATTTTTCCTCACACCAGCTTATAATTTACTATGGTACCACTTTATATGCTTTATGGTATTGCATCATTACCGAATATAAGCAAGTATACCAGATATGAGCCCAATTGAACGTCTGGAAGTGGTTCTAATACAGATCGCAAGATTTAATCCACACAATAAATGCTTGTAACAAATGAAAATATTTAGAAAATTACAAAATTTGTGATAATCATACTTTAAATATGTGTAAAACTAGATGAAGAACATTCTCCATTTTCTTTTCTGTTATACACTTAAAAAATCCTCTGTGGTCATAACATAGATGGATTTTATTTTTGCTGTTCTAGATATTCAATTTTCTCTCCTTTGTCGCTCCTTTCAGGGTGATTTTAAAAGGATATTATGTGTCATCACATAATATCCTTCTTCTAAAATTAATAAGGTCGAATTATTATATTCTAGCGTGTGACCTTAATGGTAATAGTGCTGTTACACTTGGATGAGACGCAACCAAGTGTTGCTCTTCCACCATCATTATTCAGCACGTAATAAAATGAAAGCCTACACTGTAATACTGCACAAGTTCGTTTCGTTATTAGATGAATATAATTCACTCGCGCCTGGACTTCTTCCTTGAAAAGTTAAGAGCAATCTCGGATGAACACGAGTAACGGTTCCATCAAGACATCGCTATTCGCTATTCTGGAGGAGATATTTTCAGGGAAGTGGAATGCAAGCATGTTGGTGGAGTACTCCTGGTTTTGGGACGAGAGAGCTTAACCTCAGGTTATAAATGGCAAAATACAAGTCATTCAATGGAAAATGTGAAGGTCCATGTTGGGAGTTACACTTAGAGATAAAATACCCAATCATACTATAAGAAATCGAACAGGAGTAAGGAATGCGGTGATATCTATCTTACATCTTAAATGGAACTGGGCAGGACATGTGGCTAGGATGACAGATGGACGGTGGACAAAGAGACTTGTGGAATGGAGACTAAGACACGAAGCCTATAGAAGCAGAGTCGATGGACAGATGATATAAAAAAGTTGCTGGAAATTTGATTCAAGTTTCACAAGAAACGGATGGCTAGAGTTAAGGGAGGCTTTTGTTCAGCAGTGGACAGAATAAGCTAAATGATGATGACAAATGGCAAGTCTCTCTCTCTCTCTGTCTTTATTCCTACAAGAGGAATGTAGTGGTCAGGTGATGTGTGAGGTTTGTCTCCATAAATCCCTGTCATGTGCTTCATGTACAAGCATGTGCAGTGGCTTGTGGGTGATCTTTGATAGCTGGTCTATCCATCGGGAGGGCGAGCGGCCCCTTGGTCTTCTTCCCGGAACCTTGTTCTGTATAATGAGTTTTTCCATACAGTCAGTATCCCTCCTCATAACGTGACCGAAATATTTAAGTATACGTGACTGTATAGAAGTCGAGAGGCGTTCTGTTCTACGCTATTGATTATCGTCCTGAGTTTTATGGATATTTTAATTTATATAATATACATGAATGATCCATGAGTAAGAAGTTTTACTTGAATTTTAGATGTATTAAAAAAATAACACTAGATTACTAGACCCAACTAGACTAGCAATGCTTTAAACATACATGAAAATAAATTACATTGCATGTTCCTGACCGTATTATACCGAATGATCGAAAAAAAGTCGAGTTAGCTTGGAAATGAACATCGATTACATTCCCCATAATTTTACATATAAAATGACAGCGATCTTCATTTCATAGCCATCTCTGACGCAGATTTTTTTTCGATCATACGGTACCTAGAGTAGGAGAACACAACCAGCTTTGCATAAACCGGTACTGAAATCCTTTTATACAGGTTTTTTGATTTTCATAGTATCATGAATCTATTTTTCTGTATCGATTGAAACCGGTCTTTCGGGATCAATTTAAACCGGTCTTCCAGTACTGGTACCAAAACCGGTCTTCCGGTGCCGTTACCGAAACCGGTATACCGGCCTTGTAAAAGACGATACCGATACCGGAATATTTCAAAAATACCGGTCATGGTACACCGGAAGACCTAACATGCCTAGTCTCTATAGTAGCGAAGTTATTATCGAGACTTGGGATCGAGATTTATATTTTTATGTTATTATTCTTATTAGTTCCGAAAGTTTCTTAAAGTGTAGTGAGCAAAAGCCCGGGACTTTACACAATTAAAAATGTCTATTTAGACCAGCTTACGTTCACATGCGTAAAAATAAAGTAAGTTGTCCCATTCTGTAATGAGACACACACACACATAGACATGTTTCTAAATTGCTACAAGAAACATTTACGAGATAAAAGCTACATTTCCGGCCGATTCATTCCACATACGTACGGTACGGCACTATCGCCCCAACGACATGTCCACTGTCCCCTTCTTAACAAGGTGTAAAATTACTTTAATTTCTCTCATCGCGTCCTGCTGTCAATTAGTGGACCATTAAGTGGCCAGTGGACAAGGCGTGGGCGTCGTTAGAAATATACGCCCATGCAGTGTCTGACCAGGTGCATACCTGAATGGATCGAGTGACCACGATGGAAGAAACATTAAACCAATATCAAAATATATTGAAAATATTGCACACAGCTGTTTTCTAAGAAACTATCGGTTTAAGTCAGATAATAAAAAGCTTTGTATCTTTTTTTTTCAGAGAAATAATCCCATAAGATAGATCCAGTTTATAACAACTATTCGGTTGTTGGAGTTATTTGATTTTGGATATAAGTTATAAATTGAATTTCCGATGCATACCACACGATCGAAAAAAAACGGCGTCAGTAGGATGGAATATGGAGATCGATGATGATTTATACGTACAATTATATTATCGTTTATCGTGAATGTCCCACTAATTTAATCTAATAAATAACACAACAATGGAAATAGTAGAAGAATATACAGGGTGTCCCAGAAATGAGTGCAAATATTTTAAGGGGTGGTAGATCTGGTCAAAAGAAACATATTTTCTCTTTACCATTTTTAAAATAAATTGAAAATAACTGAGTTATTTAACTTTAATTGCGACATTTTGAGAGCCGCCGGGGGAAATCGGCAATTTCCCGGATCTTGCCTTGTTCGCCGCCCGCTGTTGCCGCGACTAGAAAGTTTCAAAAACTACTTGCAAAATTCCATAACACTAAGTGGATGATCGCCAGTAGCAATACTTCCCATATTTCCCAAATTAAATTAAAAGAAAAAATAACTTACCATCTAAAAAAGGATATCCCGATAGAAGATCGATATAATTGCAAAGCGTTCTTTTTTTCCATTTTACCAGTCCTAAAACTGCCCCTTAACACTACACTTAACTTCACTACGACTCTTAACAACATTTGAACTTTGATGGTACCTGAGAATCCAAACTTCCAAAATCCCTCAAATGCTGAACCATACTCACAGCTTACAGAGTTTACACTTGATAACGGTAAGTGATCCTTCTGACCGAAATGTTGGGTTAATCAAAATAAATAAAGACAATGGAAGTCCGAAATTCTTTTATTTTCAATATACTCACAAAGGTTCGAGCATTCGTGATCTGCCTATTCGAATACTCTTCGGAATAAAGCCTCTTAGCTTCCGCAGCCCCTTCACCTGCCAGGAGGAAGTATGCAAAATTCACACTTTAGGTAGAGTTTAGAAGCATATCCACCTTCTCTGGATTTGTATAGGCCATCGCGATTTACCGATACCGATACATAATCGTAATCATAGTCACAATTTTAGTCACAATCATAAAAGTTAAAACCATTATTTTAGATACGACCGTTTATACATCGCACTCGTAATCATAAGCATAATTTAATAACCTTGAAGTTCGTAAATTTTAACTTTTTTGATTGTGATTAAGACAAAAATCGGTTAGGGGCATTATTATTTTTCATTTTTATGTTTAATAATTATGATAATTTTGGTGTTTAAAAAATCTGAGTAATAAAATTTAAACAAAAATACACTTCTAAAGTGATTATGAAATAGAAACATAAGAAAATTAGGTTACTTTATCAGCTGTATTTACATTCCAAGTTATGAATGCGACTATGTTGTATAAACGCATATTAAAATTGTGATTGTGACTGTGCTTATGCTTAAGACAAAAATTATGATTATGATTACCACTATGTTGTAGCCCATTAAAATTACTGTGAATTTATAAACATTTAGAATGTGGGTATGGTAGGAAGTGGCAACATTGCATTCTTTCCGAGATTCTCTCTAGGCAAGGTAAACGAATTTCCGGAGAGTGCAGGCACTCAAAAGTTTTTCAAAATTTTCCGGAAAATGTCAACAAAAATGTAAAATTTTCAACATTTTTTTTTCGCAAAAAAAACGTCGTAGGCGTGTTTCTGGGGTTGAACTATACTACCAGTTAA